CGGAGGTTGATAATCCTTGACTTTAGATCACTCTGATGTGAAAGATGCTTAAGGCGTGAGACAAGTCCCAAAAAACTTTAGGCCCAATCGCAAAGAAAAGAATAAAACAAGGCGGTGGAAAGAAAAGAAAAGAGAGGTCGCGGTAATGGATGTTAAGGCATGAGAACGATTGTTTCCGAAAATCCCTAAGCCCTGATTACTACTATGAAAATCCCTAGTCGTTTGTGAGTGAAGACCGCGTCAAACTCGGTGAAAAGAGCTTGATAACCTGAAGTGATCTAATGGCTAACCACCAAGAAATCGATAAAGTTCAGAAAGAATAAAAGAGAAAAAACTCAAAAATATTTGATAAAAGATGTGTCCAAAAATTCTAAGTACAATGCGCTTATATATAAGCTAGAGCAGACCACGGGTCATGCTTAGGAAATAAAAAAAATAAATAAATAAAGTCAAATAAATAATAAAAGAGTTGAAAATTATTCGGATGCCTTTGAATGTCTGTTTGCATACTCGGCCGAACTTGACTCTTGAACTTCCGACCCACGAACCAAGCACAGACTGAACCACAGTCATAAGAATGGTACGACCCTTAACCTCGTTAAAGCCCCACCCGGTAAACCCATTGGTACAAAACCGAGTGCAAGGAAAAAGAGTATTAAGGAACCATATCTGACCGAGTTAGTAAGTACCTTGGTACGTAAGTACGGTCTTGGGGCATGTGCCGGTTCCGTTCCTTGGTTCGATCCTTGGTTCTAGCTCGGTAAGCAGCATCCAGACGGCTCCCACAAGATTTATGGTACGCGATCGGGTCATTGGGTCGTCTGGTACGATAAGGGCCGTGTCTGGAACCTCTTTTTTGACCTGCAGTTCATGTTCCTCGACCCGCGGTTCAAGCTCTTCGACCTGCAGTTCATGTTCACGGTCATGCTCTCGGTCCATGATCATATCAAAATATACCATGCAATCCCTGGAAATTGTGTATTATTATTTTTTTTTATATAGTCTCCAAAACAAATGATCCGATTCGAAAAACCGATGTTCCTAGATAAACTCGAGGGGGTGTTGGTATCTGGGATAATGCCCATGTTTGTAATGCTGGGGGGCATTCAAAGAACATGATTAATTGTTTCTTCTTCCGCTCCACACCGTGTATACTGTGTGTAACATTGTATTCCACGGGATCATAACCTACCCGAAACTGGGAGGCACCCTGATATTGTTTGCCATATAAAGTGTCTTAACTTTGGCGAGCATTTTAGTTTCCAAGCTTGTGCTTGAAGAACCTGTACATCTGGGCCAAAGAATTGTTCTGTACTCCCCTCTGCAAAATCCCTCTCAGTTTTATACCCTGATTTTACCATATATCGTCCGATTTTTGTGTAATGCAATCCCAGTTGATCTGGCCGATAGTAGCTACTAATTGAAATTCCTTGAATAATTTTCACATCCGTTGGATCGATAATTGCTGTTATTAATCCCAGGTTCCACGTATTTTTCATTGGGTCAATCAGATGATTAACCTTAAGGTTCGGGTAATAATTAAAACCATTACAAATTGCTGATCTCGGGCGAGAAGAAAGTATCCTAGGGTCATTCCATCGGAGATGGAACATCCCAAAACAACCCTTTTGATAAGCCCATTATTAACAGAGATCTAGCCGAGCTGATGCTTCTCCAGCCATAAGATGGTGACTAGAATCTCATTGGGTCCAGAGGACTTGAGTTCCGAAAATATCGTCTCTTAAAGACCTTCGCAAACAAAGAGTTTGGTATATCAATCAATCACCACAATTTTTTTGCTAAGAGGGTCGTATTATAGTCCTTCACATTTCGGACACCGATACCCCCTTTCACTTTATCTTTACACAATTTTTGACATGCTATCCAGTGCATGTCTCAATGTAATCCATCTGAGCTCCATCAGTATCTTGCTGCCGCCCTAGTTAGTTTGGCCGTAATAGCTTTTGGTAGCCGAAAACATGACATTACAAAGGTGGACATCGCGGATGCCACCGATTTGATCAACACTTCTTTACCTCCTTTCGAAAATAATCGCGACATCCAACTATTAATCCGATCGTGCTATCTTTCCATTACGAAATTGAAAATTTTCGTTTCTGCGCCATCTATGCTCTCTGGATACCTACATAGGATCCCGTCTCTCCATTTCTAGCGATACCTAATATCTGTTTCATCTCACTTTTAACTTTCTCGGAAATGGTATCACCAAATTGAACCAAACTTTTTTTGAAATTTATTTGTTGTCCAGAGATACCCTTAGATCATCTCCAACGCGGTGTCATCCGCAGTACGTCGGTGGGCTCGAAGGGCTATTTTGCAATTAAAAAAAACTTTGGGCCGAATAATCTGGACTGACCGTCTCTTGCAGATGAGACCGACGAGCCCGTCTCAAGCGAGTATCGTTGGTGATGTGGCGGATGGTGAGTGGCTGGAATTAAGAGGAAAGTGTTCTAATTTTTCATTATTTTTTTTGCCCGTGCCATTTTGTTTTCGAGAGAGAAGTCGTGTTTTTTACATGTGTCTCTTTCTGTCACCGACGAATCGGTTCACCGGCGAATTTTACGGCTGAGACGACGAAGCTGTTTCATCGGCACGACACGACGATCAAGGTAAGATTTCCGACCTCGTAGCAATCGGTTTTGGTATTTTCGTTCTTTAAATCGAAATTAGGGTTTGAATCAATTTGGGGGAAAATCTAGGGTTCGTCGAATGGAATGAAATTTGGGTTTAATCGGTTCAGTAGTAATGTCTGGGTGATTGAATCGGCGAGAATATGATCTTCTTTCTCGGTTATTTGAAATCGATTAACTATGTAGCTTTGCTTTTAGGGTTTAATCGATTTGGGAAAAATTGAGGGTTTACGATGCAATGTCTTAGTGTTTGTGATTGAATAATACGTTTAATCGACTGAACTGTCTTCTCTTTTGTTTTCATCTTCCGTTTGTGATTCGAGCATCGTTAATGTGATCTATTTCTTTTCTTTTTCAAACATGGGTTCGTTGTAATTAGGTAGTAAACATGATGCTCGAATGGTTAATGCTTATTTGTCTTTGTCTTTTCAACTTTTAAAACTGATTACATCAAATGCTTCTGTTTGTCTCGGCTATGTTGATCAATATGTTTCCTTGAAACGTTTTAGCTTCTGTGTTTTGAATCTGTTTTCATAAACCGGAGATATAGACTATAGTACTGTATTTCTTATGATGTAAATCATGGTATCTAGTTTTGTTGGACTTATTTAGTTGTTTTCTTTAATGTATACATGATGCCATTAGCTACAGCGAGCCATCTTCTGATGACGAATACATTGAGGACTTCAGTTGGATGTTAGAAGATGCCAAGTTCGGCATCCCGGAGAAGTGCTTATGTGGTCGAGTGATCGAGCTAGGAGGCATGTCTGCTGAGGCGGTTAGGACTCCAGGCTGCCAATACTACAGCTGTCCTGCGTGGTTAGAAGAGGTAAGAGTGAAAAGTCAATATACTTGCATTACAAATTTGTTGAAGCTGAGTTTAATATCATATTACATGTTCTTATGTAGGGAACTGGGGAGCATATCTTCAAGTTCTGGGACGAGGCAGTCACAGAGCAAATTGGCATCCTGGAGAGAAGGATTTTGAATCAAAGACGCGACATGGGAAGGGTTGAGAGAGTGCCGGATACGATCATGGCACTCTTAAAGGAGGAGATAAGAGTGATTCAAGGGGAAGTAGCACGATTGAAGGAGGCACTGGCTAACCAAGGTGACAGCTACATGTTACTATGTTTTTTATGTGATGTTGCAGCGATTTCCTACATGTTTAAGTAGGCTTATTCAGCTGCTAAGTGCTATGCGGCTATTGCTGCTCTTTTGGCATAAGTTTTTTTTAAGTGTTTGGCGTCTAAGTGAAAAAAAGATGAACTTGCTTTTTTAGTTGTTTTTGAAGTTGTTTTTTTAAGTGTTTGTTGAACTTACTTTGAAGTTTATTTAATGAAGTTTATTTAATGAAGTATGTTTTACGTATACAACCTTGGTGAACTTGTTTAGTACTTGCCTATATTGCATTTTTGATGGGCATTGCATTCTATTTCTGTGGATTGGCTATCTTGGTAATGAACTCTTTGTTTTGCAGATTTTAGACATAATGGAGACATGGCAGACAAGGAATGAGGGGCCATGTGCTATCTTTCCCGTGAATTGTAATTTTGTAATTTTGTGTAGAGTAGGACTGGGTCCTCTATATTTTGTAATTTTGTCTGCTATACCACATGTTGTATATCACTTTAGCAGAGATGATTTGCCATCTCGTTGTTTGCATTTTAAACCATAGGCTTTAAAGTTTCTTTGTAAACCACTCATTTGTGATCTCTTTGTAAACCATCTGCCTATATAATACAAGCAATACCAAGTTTATTTCCATATATCGTTTTCTGTATTGTGCTTCTCCTCTGTCTTTTATTTCCACTTTTCAGCAAGCACATCTCCACCTCCTTTCCAATTTTTCATATTGAGAACACAATTCCATCTCCACCTCAATTCTGTTTTTCATATCATAAACACATTTCCATCTTCACATCCTTTCTCTTTTCTTCTAATCACACACATGGCATCTTCTTCAAACGGTTTTTACAATAATGATCTTGATGAAACTTTTGATGAAACTTTTGATGAAAATTTTGATGAAATCTTTGATCAACACTTTGACAATGCTTTGAACTCTTTCCTAGAACGTCATATGGCTCCAAAACCAAAGAAGAAGAAAAGAGCTATATTGAAAGACAACGTGAGCAAGGCCACATTCGCTTATGGAACGATTATTTCAGCGAAGATGCTACATACCCTCACAATTTATTTCGCCGCCGTTTTAGAATGAACAAAACATTGTTCATTCGTATTGTTGATCGACTCTCACAAGAAGTTCCTTGTTTTCAACAAAGGAGAGATGCTGTCGGAAGACTTAGCCTATCTGGGCTACAAAAATGTACAGCCGCAATTCGTATAATGGCATACGGTAGTGCAGCTGATGCAGTTGACGAGTACCTCCGGCTAGGTGAAACTACAGCAATTTCTTGCTTGGAAAATTTCACCGAGGCAATGATCTCTTTGTTCGGGGATGAATACTTAAGAAGACCAACACGAGAAGATCTTCAACGGCTGCTTGATATGGAAGAGTCTCGTGGATTTCCCGGGATGATTGGCAGCATCGATTGTATGCATTGGGAGTGAAAAAATTACCCTACAGCATGGAAAGGGCAATACACACGGGGTACAGGAAAACCGACAATTGTCTTAGAGGCTGTGGCATCATTCGATCTTTGGTTTTGGCATGTCTTTTTTGGACCTCCAGGTACTTTAAACGATATCAATGTCTTAGATCGCTCACCTGTTTTTGATGACATCTTATATGGTAAAGCTCCGAAAGTAAGGTTCTCTGTCAACGGTCACAACTATCGCCTACCATATTACCTAACGGACGCTATATATCCAAAATGGGCAACATTTGTCAAGTCTATTCCTCTTCCCCAAAGTGAAAAAGATACATTATTTGCTACATGGCAAGAATCTGTACGAAAAGATGTCGAAAGAGCTTTCAGAGTCTTGCAAGCCCGGTTTGCTATTGTCAAAAATCCCGCCCTTATGTGGGATAAAGAGAAGATAGGGAAGATTATGAAAGCATGTATCATATTACGCAATATGATAGTCGAAGACGAACGACCTACCAACACTCAACATAATATATCTGAATTCGAACAAGGTGAAGGAAGCCGAACTTCACATGTCGATATGGGTTATTCAACAGAAATGGCATCGAATCTGGACAATTTGATCGGCAATCGGATTCAAGTTCGAGATACCGAAATTCACGATCAATTGAAGGAAGATTTAGTAGAACATATTTGGCATAAATTTGGAGGAACCGCTCTTTAAATTAAGTTTGTATGTTTTTTTCGTAATTTTAATAATTTGTATTTCAATTAGTCATGTATTCCTATATTAATCACGTTTTATGTCATATAATTTATGTAATTTTATTTTCGAATTTATTAAAATATTTAAAAAAATAAACAAAATATTAATATTTTATTCAAAACAACCCCTAAATTAGGGATCAGAGATGGAGGGTTACAAAACATGGAGTCCTTCCCAATTAAAAAAAAATAGAAAAACAAAATTAAAACATGCTAAGAAACCCAAGAATAGTATCAGCATTCGAGATGCTCTTTCAATAAGTCAATAATCTTTGCTTTGACTATGGTCTTGTCAATGGATTACTAGACTCTAAATCTGCATGCCCGCACAATAAAATACTTTGTAAAATATACTCTGTAATATATAAAATATGAAATGAGAAATAAGAACTAATTTATATTTTATTGATTTAAATATGTTTAATTTGTAGTTTTTTAAGTTTATAATAAATTTGATAAATATTTGGCAATAGTTAAATATCTGTTTGAGAACATGTTCAAATTATTTGAAAAAAATAAAGGATACTTAAAAAGACATTTCAAAAGTATTTCTGCTTTAATAGTATAGATATGGAATTGTTTTTAACATCTTCACATTAGTTTCCAATCTTGTAAAAGGTCCTACCGAAATCCTTCGGATTTTCTTCATAGCATCCACATACACACCAAGATATAATAGAATCTCAACCTATCCATGTGGACCATGTCTTCATTAAATTCTTCCTCACTGTAGCTCCATGAAAAGTGAGTTTTTATAGAGTTGAGCTAGGATACAAGGTCGAGCGTTCTTTTGTGGGTCGGGTATGATCCTTCGGTTTCAACCTGTACAAATTAAAGTACGTAATTGTTTTTCACTTATTTTCTTAATTTGTCTCGTTTGCCAGCTAGACGACAACTTAATCTTGATATGGATAAGGTGGATGCTGAGTTAGTACTGGTCAGTTGAGTATTTTCCCATGCTTATGTCTTCACTAGGTGTAGAGAATAGTTGATTTCACCTATCAAATGTTTAATACTAACTTCTTATTTACTGACCTACTTTCGTATGAGAATTTGCATATAGGGAATCCTAAACCTCTTAAATAAGGATACATACTTGACTCATACCATTCATCTCTCAATTTTATCCTCACAATGTAATGTGGCCACATTACCCAATGAAGATGATTTATAGGGAGCTGACCTCACCTCGAGCTGCTACTTATATGTCTGACCACTCAAATACTAGCCTGGCTCATACCCAAAAGCGTGACTATAGTCAAGTGACCTGATCCATCAAGTTGTTAGGCCTATCTATTTTGGGACGAGCAATATGACTAAAGTAAGCAAGCAGCGCTAAAAGATTCGCCTAAACTAGTTATACGTGATGGTAAGAACTTAACCTAAACTAAAAGATAATGTTTATCCCCAACAGTAATTAGAAAAACCAAAATGTCTTTAACCTACTAAATAGTAATTTTTATTTTGTCAAAATGATATTTAAACTAAAGTGTTTTTCGTTAGACTATTCCATTATTATGATAGTTATCTAATACGCCAATTAAGTCATGTTTGTGACATTAAAAACCTTTGTTTAATTGATAAAATTTTTTACTGTAAATGAATTTAACTTAAAAACATGGTTGAAAAGAAAACTCAATTCGTTTCAATACTGATTTTATTTCCTAATCAAGGACATGATGATGTTGAATGTTGTTGGGCCGGAAAAACTATAATTTTGGGTTGCATGGTGTGCAAATTTGTTGAAGATGTGGTTAATGATAATGGTATCACCAAAATGAGCAATAAGCATTGATTCAGTGATGGCTCTTGCTCTATTTGCCATCTTTCTCCCAAATTTAATTCCATGTGATTGGTCATCATCTTTTTCTTCATCAGTTTCGTAGGAAACAAGATGCTCATATGTCTCTATCTTGTTAATCTCAAAGGAGCCTTCATTTCGGACAACCTTCATAACCTCTCCTGCGCTCGGATTGTAGAACGGTACATTGAATGAATCCACTTCTGATTGCTTCACAACCCCCTGTCCTCACAACGTTTTCGTTACAAAAATTCAATGGAAAATAGAAAAGAGATCAATCGTTGTTTCTAATAACAAAGATAGAGATCAAATGATCAAATCTACATCAATTATTTTATGTTTGGAATGTTTTTAATTTTAGTGTTAGACTGATTATATTTGGTTTTCGTAGGAAAAATTGTTCATGTTATAGCTGAAAATTACCAATCAAAAAAAAAAAAATGAAGATAACTCTGCTCAATTTTTCAACACAAATCTCTCTTTCACGTTAACTATTTTTTTCTCATTTCCCTTTCATTTTAGCTTTGTTTGTAAATCCAAAAATAATCCTAATTAACCTAACTAAGAAAAACCTTAACTTAACCCCAAATTATCATAAGGCTGATAATACAGTTAACTAATTAATACTCAATTCGAGCAAAACAAATATAAAAAAAAATCATCCATATCAGATAATGTTTTACTTAATATTCCATATGTTCTTCATTAAATGATGTTTTAAATATTATGCACACAGAGAAAAAAAAATCTCTAAAAGATCACTTATTTGAGTAAGACTAGAATTCGTCAACCATAAAATGACATGAATCTTATTATTTGATATTTTAAAAATAATAATAATATAGTTCACACATGGCATAGAACAAACAGCTAATTATGTATATACATCACATGCAGCTTACTGAGTCACTCTCCGGATTCAAATCCAATGCATGATATTGACCAAAAAATTATATAAACAACGTATATAGTAAATGGGTACCTCTGAAACTAGGTCGATAAGCGCATCAGATAGCAAGGACCAAAGGTAGAAATCATCTCTGCAAAAAGGTTTTACATCTTTGTGTCCTATGAACGTGAGAACCATGCGTCCATTAGGCAATATCTCTTCAGACCGCATTCTTAAGAATAAGTTGAAATCAGTTTGGAACTGATTCATATAACTCCTGCACACATTTAGAGAGCATCCACTTCTAATGTGTACGTTATTCTTGTTATCTTCAAGCCCTTGAGGAACTTTAGAAAGCCAGTGAATACTATAAGATGAATGAAGAAAATGGAGAGATTTGTTTGGAAAGAGTCTTGAGTAGAAGGAGCCAGGGATTCCAGATATGAAACACTTTCCTTTAACCTCTTTATTGAAGAAAGGGACCAGCTTGAAAGTTGTATTGAAATCGTTTTGTGGAAGATCGTTTAGGCAATAATCAATCTCTGGTAGGTCTTGATTTGTTTGTTGGTACGATCCTGTGATTGTGTTGACGATTTCGAGCATAACCAAAAACGTGTTTTGTCCTGAAGAACATCCTAAATCTGACACTTTGATGCATTCAGGGAAATTTAACTTAAGTAACATTTCTCTGATATTCTCTTCCACCTTTGGTCGTGTTTTAGCGATAACATTTCTCTGTCAAGAAATATATGTATATCTCTATGAAAATAAACGAACCAGTAATCTCATTTCATCAAAGTTATTATCATAAAGAATTACAACGCGCAGTACCTGATTATCAGAATTACTAGAATAGCTGTGTTCTCCATCTCCTCCATTCATATTAAGAGCATTTATGAAAGAGTTCCTAAAAGTGTATAAAGAAAAACCTTAATATATTAAGGTTACTTACGAAAGGGAAACGTTACTGCTGATACACACAAATGTGAAAACAGAATAAAAGAATAACATTTACCTTGAGGAAGGCATGGCGATATATGAGTCTTTTGGATCAAGTTCTTACAAGATCATAAGTGTTGCTACTCTTTGACTATATATATAGTCAAATATGTATGATAGTCTAATAGATCTGGCTTGGGTAAACGATATCTCGAAATACTCAAAAGAGCCAACAATAATTACACAGACAGATTAATAAAATAAAAACTTGAGTGACAACCAACTTCTCCGGAAAAAAATAATAATTATTTACGAAAAAAAAAAATTTATTTCTTTGATATTATTCGTATCCACCGTCTTTTGATTCCCTCTTAAAGGGACATCATTTCATTTTACTATTAACAAAAAGCAAAAAACGAAAAACAGAAAAGAAAAAACCGGACCTATTGCAAACTCTAATTTCCTAATATAGAATGAAAAATTACAAATATAATAGTCTCACAATTCCATATTATACTTTTTACATGTGCATAATATAGAACAATTTATCTTTGCGTAGGTGAACGTTTGGCGAGCTTGTAAAAGTATTCAAAGCATTAATTCGAGATTTGCATATTGTGGATGTGATCATCGCTTTAGATTGTACAGCTGCCTCGAAGCGATTTACAAACCTTTTGGAATGGCCGCGATGCAGAGTTTTATAGACCAAAAACATACTCTTCGACAAAGTTTTGGCCATTGCTCCTTTGATCTTCAGATGAGCAAATCCAATCAAGTGGATGGGCGGAAGAGTATCCTAAGTCTGTTACTTTATTTGACGCAATGCTTAGGAAAATTTAACTTAAGAAACATTCCTCTGATGTTCTCATGATCTCATCCACAATAGGTCGTCGGGTTTTAGAGATAACATCTCTCTGCCAAGCCAAAATTTTGAATATATATCAATTAAAGGTAAAAATAAACAAACTAATAACCCTCATTTAATCAAAATCATCATAAATAACAACTCTATAGAAGTACTAATGTACAATACCTGGTGACGAGAATTACTAGAGTAGCTGTGTTCTCCTTCTCCTTCATTCATACTAACAGCATTGAAGAAAGAGTCCCCAAAATTATTAAGTGTATTTAGTTTGTAAGAGTACCCCTTTAAACAATATACATAATATTGATACACACGAGTCTGAAGAGAAGAAACTAATCTTTACCTTGAGGAAGACATGTCGATGTATATGAATCTTTCGATTAAATTCTTACACGATAAAAAGTATAGCTACTTTTTGATTATATGTGAAATGGATGGTGGTCGAGTAGATCTGGCTTTTTTCAAATCAAAGGTCAAGAATTTGGACTATGTTAGCATTAATTAAGGGAAAATAACACTTTGGAATATAAAAAATACAAATCACAACGTTACTACGATTAAGAGATCAATAAATTAAACCCGAACCTACTGCCATCTTTAAAGAAGACACATAAAACAAGAGATTTTGTGGGTTTTAAATCTAGTAAAATATAAAGTTGAACACATTCAACATAAACAGGACAGGTAAGATAATCATAGTTCATTAATTGTTAATTTAGATCTATATGTGTCAATGTAATAATATAATTTTTTATTGTTATTTTTTTTCTTTTAAAAAATAACCAAAAAGGAACAAAAGGTAATGATTTTTAAAATTAAAACTATAAATTAAAAAAAATATATAATTAAAAACTGGAAACTATAACATCTTTGAAAAGATTCATAATTGAAATGAGAAGAATGCAGAATCTATATGCACCTTTTGTTCTTTCTTTGTGACTTTGAATTTGATCAAGATACTTTTATATACAATTTGTATGATAGTTAGTGTACTAATTTGTCACATTCTATTGTGTTGATATTAGATTAATACTCATGCATTACGCGAATTTTCTATACTATATTATGGAAAACAATTTACTATATACATTTTATAAATTTAAAACATTTTCTAATTAGTGTATTACTTTGTAATTACATATAATAATTAAGTATCTTTTTCTTTTACAGATAGTTTTTATAAAATTATATTAAAATTCATTTTATGTCGTAAATTAATTTCTAATAATAATTTGATTTGAAAAGATTATATCACATTATATATAGACATTGATATTTTCTTTTGTAAATGAAGAAGAATGTCACATTTGCTTTAGTAAGGTGTTTGATGGGAAAAAGGCTGATTAGTACCTCAACACCATCATCTCGTACCAATAAATACCCAAACAATTTTGATAGGTTAATCAGTATCTGAATTTATTAAAATCGGTAAATACATACTTCAACAATATTTTTGTGGCCAATAAGTATATTGACTTTCTGTCTGTTAGTCAAACCTATTAACTTGCAAATGGAATCCGACTTCGATACCACCGTGGATGCTCTATTCGAATGAAACCAATACGACGCCGTTTAAGGTTAAAAATCTAGAAAAAAGGCAAAAACGACGTCATTTTAAATTTATTATCCATTAAAAAAATACACCATCTATATCTTCTTTCGTGGGAGAAAAACATCGATAGTTAGGATTTGGATGGGGTTCAAAATCAAATCGGAATGACTTCATCGTCGAATGCTAACGCTTCTTCGGAGATTCATGGTAGGTTTAGATTTGCAATTTTGGTTTTGATTTTGATTCAAACACTTTCGGAAAATCAAATGGAAAATTTCAATTTTGATTTTTTTCATGTATAATAAATTTAAAACGACGTCGTTTTTGCTTTTTTCGCCTGATTTTTAACTTTAAATGACGTCGTATTGGTTTCATTCGAACACAGCATCCACCGTGGCATCTGAGTCGGATTCCGTTTGCAAATTAACAGGTTTGACTAACAGAGAGAAAGTCAATGTACTAATTGGCCAAAAAACATTATTGAGGTATGTATTTACCGATTTTAATAAGTTCAGGTACTGATTAACCTATCAAAATTGTTTGGGTATTTATTTGTACCAGATGATGGTGTTGAGATACTAATCGGCCTTTTTCCTGGTGTTTGATTGGTTCACCCGCTATCAGCTGCAAACGTTGTATTTTGTGGTTGTTAACGATTAGTGGCGTTTTATAACAATTATAGAAATCACTGCAAACCGCTCCATATCATTTTATACTGCTGATATCCAAAAGCTGTTTCCCACCAGCATTTGCGGTTGCGGGCAGTAGCGGTGAGGGGAAAAAAATGTACGTTAAAAAATTAAAAAATCACGTTAAAAACTAATTAGTTACAAAATTAGTTTGTTATAATTCTTTTTTTTGTTCTTCAGAAAGTTGCATAGTCAAACGAGATGATATGTGCATTATTCCAACGGATCATTGTGAAAAAATAAACTAAAGACAAAAAACCTAGATTTTTGAGTGTACTCCAGAAAGAACGTATTCTGAAGAATATTACTGAGCAATTTGAAGTTGATTTGAGTTGGAGTCATGCAAAAAATCGATTTTCAAATGAAGAAATTTTATACCATGCATAAGACAAATCCAGAAGATCCACGTATTGGAGCAAATTTTTTCTAATTTATTAGACATAATTTTGGGTGATGTTCCCAACAATTGAAATAAAACATGTTATTATAAAATTTATTAGTATGTTAAATAATTATTAGTATTTATTTAGATTTTTTATTATTAATTATTTTGAATTAGTGATTTTGATATTTAACATAATAGTATAGTTTTTATGTTTTTTATAATTATATATGATGTTTATTTTGGTAATTTTATGTTTAACCGCTAAAACATCCGCTGGTTTGTCAGTAAAAAATATTCCACAAATGGATCTGCTTTAAAAAGTTTAACCAGTCGTACAAACCACTTAGGTGTTGATTGGTTCACCCGCTATCACCCGCAAACGCAGCGTTTGCTATTAGTTAACTATTAGTTATTTTTTCAGCACATTCGTTGATGAGGTTAAAGAATGCATCTCCGGGGTTTCTGAAACTGAAATCAATGATCATAAAGATCAACACTATGCTCAGTGGTTAAAAGCGCAAGTACGTATAAAACATAAATTAAAAGACTTTGATATATATCCAACATATATGGTTGTATGCATATTTGCAAAATTAAGAAATTAAAGCAAGATTTTTTCTGATTAGGTGGACTAGAATGATCCGGATGAATTTCCAACATGGTTCCATGAGTTACTACTAGGTCCGATGGCAAAAATAACGACAGCCTCCATGTATTTCACTTGAGGCTATGTTTTTCACACATATCGTCACGGTGCAAAGCGGGCGACAACTAACTATGGAGTTTGTAAGAGGGGTGAAACAGATTTTTATGGAGTTCTGCAAGAAATAATTGAAGTGGAGTATCGTAGATTGTTAAGGCTGAAAACTGTTCTCTTCAAATGTGATTGGTTTGATCCAACTGTTGGAAGAGGGGTACGTCTAAACAAGTTTGGAGTCGTACACGTGAACAAATCACGACGATACAACAGGTTTGAGTCATTTATATTAGCTTCTCAAGCGGAACAGGTCACATTTCTGCCATACTCCCGAGTTCGAGCAACAGGAATCTCATGGTTAGCAGTAGTTAAAGTGGCTCCGAGGGACAAGATTGTAGGGGTTGAGGATGTTCCACTGCAACAGGATACTTGCGTAGATCTGACTGAACCAGATTTTGATGAGGAGATTTTCTTAATTGACCCTCAGAACAGGCAAGTTGAAGATCTCCCCGATGATACAGAAGAAGAAGGTGATGAGTTTGCTGAAACTGATGATGATGAAGACGATTTGGCGGAAGACGACGCTGATGGTGACGAAGTACTAGAAGAAGATAAATCTGATTGATTTTTATGCATGTTTTTAGGGAATGTTTGTTATTATGTAATTTGTAACTGTGTTTGTTTGGATTTTTTTTTTAATGATAATTATAACCATTACGACGATTTTACGACGATTTTGTAAACCCTAAACCCCAAGTTTAGGTCTTATACCCTGAATGAATAGTATA